GTCAATCAATCAATCAATCAATCAATCAATCAATCAATCAATCAATCAATCAATCAATCAATCAATCAATCAATCAATCAATGTTCCCCTGTAAGTTCATTCTAATTTTATCATCTAGCTGCATTTTTTGCATCCCCCCTCCTTTCAAGCCATTTTTACCTTCTTCCCCCCCCCCGCTCTTTATGGCCTTGCCCAGCCCGTTTAAGCAGTGCGTCGTTTGTACGAACAAAATACCTTTGACTGACAGCCACTACCGCTGTTTATTTTGCCTGGGTGAATAACATCCCACCCATTCATGTGCAGCGTGCAAAAGATTGACAAAGCTGGCTCTCGAACTTTGGCTCCAGAGACTAAGATCCTACCTTTGGGAGAAGTCTCTCAATCCTCCCTTGGCTTCTATGGAGACCACACGGTCCCCAGGTCCTCCGGTAGAGTGGCAAATTCCACCTCAGCCTGCTCCCAATTCAGTGACTTCCTCTCTGCATCCTAAGGAAAAGTCCGATAAAACGAAACCAGCATCAAGGTCGAAGTCGATGCTGAAGACCTCGGCTCGAGCCCTGGATTCGTCTAAAAAGAAAAAAGCAAAGACAACTTCTAAAAAGATGAAAGAGGTCAAATCTACTCATATTGAACCCCACAAGCCTGCCATCTCCTCTCATGGAGGAATCTTCCAAAGATGCTCCAGGGTCTACATCCGAGAGGGAAGAGCTTCCCTTACCATCAGCCCAAGCTCCAGTTTCGACTGGTAACTTCTTGCCTCATGGATGGAGTCTCGTAACATTGTACAGGAGGCAGCAACAAAAACCATGCCAAATAAAAGGAAACACAAGAAAGCAAAGTGGGTGTCCAACGAGGCCTTAAAAATAGCAGAGAAAAGAAGGGAAACGAAATGCAAGGAAGATAGGGAAAGTTACAGAAAATTGAATGCAGACTTCCAAAGAATAGCAAGGAGAGACAAGAGGGCCTTCTTAAATGAACAGTGCAAAGATATAGAGGAAAATAATAGAAAGGGAAAAACCAGAGATCTGTTCAAGAAAATTGGAGGTATTAAAGGAATCTCTTGTGCAAAGATGGACATGATAAAGGACAAAAATGGTAGGGACCTCACAGAAGCAGAAGACATCAAGAGGTGGCAAGAATACACAGAGGAATTATACCAGGAAGATCTGGATGTCCCGGACAACCCAGATAGTGTGGTTGCTGATCTTGAGCCAGAGATCCTGGAGAGCGAAGTCAAGTGGACCTTAGAAAGCATGGCTAACAACAAGGCCAGTGGAGGGGATGGCTTTCCAGTTGAACTCTTTAAAATCTTAAAAGATGATGCTGTTAAGGTGCTACACTCAATATGTCAGCAAGTTTGGAAAACTCAGCAGTGGCCAGGGAATTGGAAAAGATCAGTCTACATCCCAATCCCAGAGAAGGGTGGTGCAAAAAAAAATGCTCCAACTACCTTACTGTTGCACTCATTTCACATGGTAGCAAGGTTATGCTCAAAATCTTCCAAGGTAAGCTTCAGCAGTATGTGGACCGAGAACTCTCAGAAGTATAAAGTTCTGTATAAAACTGTGGTAGAGAAAAATCTAGAAAGTGTATTGATTTTCGTGCTGCCCAGAATTTGTGACATAAAATTACTTGTCAGTTCTTGTGGAGATGACAGTGATGAACTTTAAAAAAAGAAGTGTAAAAGTAGTAATTAGTAGCTATGGTAACAAATGTCTTGCAAGATTTTTGCAGAAAGGCTGTCACACACATTATTGTGTTTTTAATACACTTTGAAGACCCGTTATGTTCTGAAACATTCAAAATTGAGTATTTTTCTGCGCCTGTGTTTCTCAATTTAGCAGTCACCAATGTAATTTGATCAAGGACTATATTAATAAATCTGTATACCAGATATTGACATATGGTGTGCCTATTTTTGCACTTAGTTTACATGTGTTTTGGGATTAGAAGATTAAAATGTATGTTGGAAGAAAGGTGGTATGGACAGAAAATACCACCTGCATTATCGTGCCTTTTGAACTCTGTCTGGTAGCATAGGTCATCTCTTGCACTAAATGTAGACTCGAATGTAAAGTCTTGAAAAGCTTTTCCAAATTATGCATACATTTTTCTTTGCCTAATGCTAATATCAAAGAATGTCCACTACATGTATCCTTCTTGTGAGACTAGTCTAAATACCTCTCCCATAATCACTGTAGGAGTGGAGGTCAAGTTAACAGCTCCACCCTTGTGCTGATCATCAAGGTTCAAAGTGGAGAAAACATAAGGAGAAAACATAAGGACAACATTTAGTCTTTGTTTATCTGGGAGGAAAGAAGGGAATTTAAGGGAAGAGCACTATTATTGGCCCTTCAGCTATTACTCAGTTCAGAAGCTGGACTCAATTAAAAATTAGTTGCTGAACAAGGCAGTGCATAAGATATTTCTGCTCATCTAGTTTCATGTTTACAGTTTTTGTCAGTAACATACACAGAACTGCTCTACATTCCATACTGCTAAATCAAGGAGCTGTTTAGCAGTTTGCTGACCCTCCCTTAAAGTGAACCCATTAGTACATAAAAGACATGGAAACAAATGGTCATGAATCAGTCTGTGCATACATCAGGAATAACAAGTTTGCGTACTGTGTTTACATATTAGCTTGTTCATTTGTAGGCAGTGATATTATATGTCCCGTATATATTTGAATCATTTCAATCATTTTTGAACATCTTCATACTTCGTGTCTTCCAGCACAAAGTGGAGTTGCTTCAAGTCATATTTCTTAGCTATTCTTTTGAGGCAGTAGAATCTGGTTTTAGCATTTCCCTTTCTTCGGCCAAATAGATGGTAGAAAAAGTGGCTGCTTGAGGACCAGCTGATTTGATCATGTCACATCTGTATTGTACTAGTTGCCCTGTTTGTGAGTGCATTTCCAGTTTAAAATGATAGTATTGCAAGTGGTAGTGCTAGTCTTTAAAGCCATTTATTAGCCTGCTTGAATGTTATGATACTCAAAAGAGGCCTTTCAGTCTTGCCACCTTCACAGCTGCATTTGTTGGGGCACGAGAAAGGAGCTTCTCTGTTGCTGCTCCCAGACTTTGGAACTTCCTCCCACAGGAGGCTAGGTTGGCCCCATCTTTACTGTCCTTCCACATGCAGGCAAAGACTTTTCAGACAGGTTTTCCCTGAATGACTGGCTGCCAGAGTGGGTTTTTTTAAAATGAATTGTTGTACATTACTGCTTTGAATGTGTTTTGGTGTTGCATATGTTTTCTGTATGGTATTTGTTTGATCCTCTTTAGCAAGGGTCTCCAAACTTTTCAGTATGAGGGCCACATCATATATTTTACACATTTTTGAGGGCCAAAGGAGGGAAGGGGAACCCAAGCAATCCCTTATCCCCACAGCAAAGACAGTAGGGGTAGGGGATTGCTTGGGTCCCCCTTCTCTTCCTGTGCCTGAGCGGGAATAGGAAGAGGAGTGAAGCCTGATCTAAGCGATCCCCCATCCCTGCTGTCTTTGCAAAGACAGTGGGGGTGGGGGATTGCTTGGGTCTCCCTTCCCTCCTCTTCCTATGCCCAGGCTGGATAAAAAGGCAAGGTGGATATGGCCCATGGGCTGTAGTTTGGATACCCCTGCTCTTTAGTATACTCACTGTTGCTAGCTTTAACTATTGGTAGCCATCTTCGGTCCTTAAAGGAGAAAGGTGGGGTTAAAACAAACTAATGGTTTGGATCCAATTTTTCTTAAAGGATTGTCTTAACCCCTAAAGCCTGCCTGCAGTTTGGGATACCCTCTACTTTTATGCTTGCCTTTAAAACCCAGTTGATTGTCTAAAAGGCACTAGGGATGCAGTCTTTTTAAGAGGAACTTCAACAGCATTATGTTGGCGATTTACTAAAACTTCTTTAGTATAGGTAGAGGGGCGTAAATTGACCTCAGACATTTCCGCCTGGACTGTCAAGCCAAGATTATTAGTGTATGAGAATATGAGAATGTCAGTTGGTCATTTGTTCAAGTAATGGTGCCAGGTCACTATCCTATGGGAGACTGTTCCTTTGATTTCTGCAGTGATTGCGTCTCTTGACATTCAACAAAGAATCTTTGATTTTGAAATAGAACAGTGACCATTTACGTTAGTCCATGATCTTCAGTAAGGAAGTAGAGCTTTTTGAGCAGCAGTTGATGGTGGACAGTAATATATACTGCTTTAGTTATTTTATGTGTTTCAAAACTGCCTTCTATATATTGGGTTGGATTTAAGATCTGAGCCACACAGATCCTGCTGGTTCTAAAGCCGGCCTGTTCTGGAATTAGAAGAGGTTAAAGTTCAGCTATAAGTAGCATAGCATGGAGATTGGCTTGCAGTTTTGGAATCTGATGGTTCTTTGCCTGGTTTCAGTATAGCTATTTCTTTCACCTTCCGTCATATTTATTTGCTCATCCAGCAGTTGTTGAAGAGTTGTAGGAGCCATTTCTTCATGTTTTGCCCAAAATGTTAATTTGCTTGATTGAGTCCTACTGCTTTGCCATTCCTATATCTTACTATGGCTTCCTCTAGCTCTACCAATATGAAGGCAGTGGAAAGTTCATTGGATTGGGTCTGAATATCCCTTTGGTGTTTTATTTTTAATTATGCATTGTTTAGTTTTCTCTGCCAGGAGCAGTTGGCGTACAGTTTGGTTAGGGGTTATATTTGAATACAGTGTCCAGTTGTTTGGATCATTATTCAGTCTTTTCAGTCATGTTTAACCTTTCTGACTGCTTTTTACCATGTCAACCTCTGTTATAGTGTTTATCTTGTGAGTTCTTTTGGTTTCTGCAAGAGCTGAGATCATATTTCTCCCAGCTTTTTCTACTAAAAGGATTTTCTTTGAAGTGTGAAATATATTCATAAGTATTGGGCATGTGTTTCCGGAGCATGTGTTTCAGAAGTACAGTGGGGTCTTGACTTGAGAACTTAATCCGTATTGGAAGGCGGTTCTCAAGTCAAAAAGTCTGTAAGTCAAGTCTCCATTGACCTACAGTTCATTGAAAACCGATTAATCCCGTAACAGGCTGTTTTTGTTCCATTTTGGTTTTTTTCTGGTCTGTAAGTCAAATCTCAGTCTGCAAGTCAAACCTAAATTTTGCGGCCAGAGAAGTCTGTAACTCAAAAAGTCTGTAAGTCAAGCCGTCTGTAAGTCAAGGGTCCACTGTACTTGGTTCGGTATGCTCTTGGAATGAAGGTACAAGAACATTCCAAAATGGAAGTTACAAATGGATCATAGTTCCCTGGTTGAGGAACAATTTGAAACATAGCTATGTCTAATATTGTTGTAAGCTTTTCCAAGTTTACTTTTTTGAAATTATGCCTCCTATGAAATGGTATAGATTGAAATTGGATGGCTGAGTGGATCTGACATAGAATGTGTCTGTGCTGAGTGTTTGAAATTGGATCACCTACAGTCTTAATGCACTATTGGCCCACTAGTAATGCACTATTGGCCCACTAGTAAAAATTATATCTGGATTGTAGCCTTTTTGCCACCTGCCACTGTAAATGAACTGGGTAGTTTAGGATCAAGTATGAGGCA